TGTGGTGCAGGAGATGGATGGGAGACGAGCTGTCAGGGGGCAATGTGTGTGTGTGTGCGTGTGTGTATATACATCTATATCTATGTGGTGCAGGAGATGGATGGGAGACGAGCTGTCAGGGGGCAATGTGTGTGTGTGTGCGTGTGTGTATATACATCTATATCTATGTGGTGCAGGAGATGGATGGGAGACGAGCTGTCAGGGGGCAATGTGTGTGTGTGTGCGTGTGTGTATATACATCTATATCTATGTGGTGCAGGAGATGGATGGGAGACGAGCTGTCAGGGGGCAATGTGTGTGTGTGTGCGTGTGTGTATATACATCTATATCTATGTGGTGCAGGAGATGGATGGGAGACGAGCTGTCAGGGGGCAATGTGTGTGTGTGTGCGTGTGTGTATATACATCTATATCTATGTGGTGCAGGAGATGGATGGGAGACGAGCTGTCAGGGGGCAATGTGTGTGTGTGTGCGTGTGTGTATATACATCTATATCTATGTGGTGCAGGAGATGGATGGGAGACGAGCTGTCAGGGGGCAATGTGTGTGTGTGTGCGTGTGTGTATATACATCTATATCTATGTGGTGCAGGAGATGGATGGGAGACGAGCTGTCAGGGGGCAATGTGTGTGTGTGTGCGTGTGTGTATATACATCTATATCTATGTGGTGCAGGAGATGGATGGGAGACGAGCTGTCGGGGGCAGTGTGTGTGTATATATTTTAGGAATGCACCGATACCATTGTTTCCAAACTGAATAAAAGTATCGATACTTTTCCCCAAGTACTCGCCGATACCTTTTTTTAGTGTCATGTTTTTTTTCTAAAACAATTCACACTAACCATTTTAGGACAGTAGTGAAATGCTAGGCCCCGGTCGCAGCTGCAAACGCTGTTTCCCCCTGGTGGTTCTGTCACTGTCGCCAAGCTGTAGAGGGACCACAAATCCCAGCAATACATTATACAGCAAGGCAGAATAATATGATGCTATGTGCTCCAGGTGGCAGGTGGGCTGTGCGAGGGTCTCGGGTGGGCTGTGCGAGGGTCTCGGGTGGGCTGTGCGAGGGTCTCGGGTGGGCTGTGTGGGCTCCCGGGTGCGCTGTGCGGGGTCTCAGGTGGGCTGTGCGAGGTCTCGGGTGGGCTGTGCGAGGGTCTCGGGTGGGCTGTGCGGTCCCTAGTATATGTGTGTACATCTATATCTGAATGAATTAAAGCAACTGGACTTGCTGTATTTTCCTTGAAAGACGCTTCGCTGGTCATCCGGCGTCTCTGAAATGAGAAAGCTAGCCGGATGACCAGCGAAGCGAAGTATAGCCAGTCCCGTTGCCTTGATTTACTTTTTTACAGATACCGATGCTATAAGACCCCTTAGGCCAGGGGTGGACCAATTAACAAGGAGCTGGTCTGTTCAGTCCAATCATTTTTTAGGTGCTCCATTGACACCAATAAAGAAAAAAGAAAAAGTTAGGCGCCAGCTGGACTTTTTAAGGAACATTGGCGACTTGGCTCCTGGGATCTGTCCAGCGCTGTCCCGTGCTTTACCCCACGTTCAGTCCTACGGGGACTCTGATTCATGAATGCCGTCACAAGTTTATCTAGAAGAACTATCTATCTATCTAGTCTCTCGGGAAGATTGGGCTTTGTACTCCACACGTTTCTCAGACCAACCGGCGGCTTCTTCGAATCTGGAATTGTACAAATATATCTATCCGTATATGACAAATAAAACGTGCCGATCCATTGGGCGGTCACATTGTAGCTGAGACCTCAATCGCTATGTTACATTTGTATCAATACATTTCCTGTATAAGAACTCTGAGAGGATCCCACAAAGACTCCATAAAAGATTTCCTGCACAATTGAAACAATGTATAATAATGATGACCTGACGAGCCGGACAATACCACAAATTTGTCAGATCACAAGGACTGTACACACGGGACAATGTCTGTGCAATCTCCGCCCCTGGATAAAGATGAGAATTCACCAGAATATACATTATATTACCAAAAGTATTGGGCCCCTCCCCCTCCAAATCATTGGATTCAGGTGTTCCAATCCCCTCCCATGGCCCCCGATGTATAGCATGAGGCACCTCGGGATGCAGACGCTTCTACAGACATTGGTGAGAGAACGGGTCGCTCTCAGGAGCTCAGTGACTACAAGCGTGGTGCCGTGATAGGTTGTCACCCGCGCAATAAGTCCGTCCGTGACATTTCCCGGCTACTAAATATTCCGCCGCGGTCGCCTGTTACTGACTTGCCTGACTGCATTGTGCCAAGTGTAAAGTTTGGGGGAGGGGGGATTATGGGGGGGGTTGTGTTTCGGGGGTTGGGCTCCGCCCCTTAGTTCCAGTGTAGGGAACTCTTAAGGCCTCAGCACACCAAGATATTTTGGACAATTTTATGCTCCCAACTTTGTGGGAGGAGTTTATGGACGGCCCCTTCCTGTTCCAACATGACTGCGCACCAGTGCACAAAGCAAGCTCCATAAAGACACGG